GCCGAGATTGCGCCATTGCACTCCAGACTGGGCAACAAGAGCGAAACTCCGTTTCAAAAAAAAAAAAAAAATCTGGAGGCAAATTAACATTACTTCTCAAATAAGGACACCAGGCCCACAGTGTTCATGTATATGACCTTAATTTGAACGTATGGTAGGTGAGGGACAAGACTTGATCCTAGGCCTGAATGATTCCATGACATCTTCTTAAGCACAATAGTCAGCCCAGGCAGTACAGAAAATGACCAGTCACAGAAAATACAAAGAGAACAGAAAGAAGCACATCAAGGGGGATACAAGGGCTGAGCTGGGACACAAGGGCTGAGCTGTGCTGCTGACAGTGGTGCTAAGTCATCCCTCATGGACCATGTGCTGAGTCATCATGCCTGCACACATTGATTCAGGCAGCCTCCTATAATTTTGTCCAGTGGATGAATAAGGTCTTGACTTACTCAGAGTAGTGTTGGAAGGGAGGGGCTCATGGGGAAATTGGGGTGCTCAGCATTACAAATCAATAGGCTGGAAAGCAACAGTATTTGTATCCAGATCACAGTATCAAGTGATGCAAGGCCTGGAAAGGGAGGGCAAGTGTGGAGGGCACGAAGTAATGGGCATATAGGAGTGAACTTTGTGCATGCACGTCTGTGGCAATATGATTCCACTACGATAGACCAAATTTTGAGCTTGGAGGAAAGTAGAACTAATTTAGCAAATGGTAAAATATTGACCCAAGGTTAAATATTCAAATTACAATATGTGCAAGTGACAAGAATGAAAGAGACCCAAGAAAGCAGCAGTATGGTGGCCTGAGGTGAAAACAGTTTTACATCTCTTAAATTAAATGCCTCTGATTTCTAGTTTCAAGAATATACTCAACAATATAACCTGTGTATATTCCAGAATTGCATACACACAAGAAAATGTGAGTAAACCCTATGAAGAGTATAGCAGTGTAGGAGACCGTGGGAATAAACAATGATTCCCTTGCTGAGTAGGTAGAGATGTGTTTGTGAAAACAGAGCCAGGCCAAGTGCAGTGGCTCATGCCTGTAATTTCAGCACTTCAGAGGCCAAAGTGGGCAGATGACGAGCTCAGGAGTTCGAGACCAGCATGGTGAAACACTGTCTGTACTAAAAAACTACAATACATTGCCCGGGCATGGTGGCACGTGCCTGTAATCCCAGCTACTTGAGAGGCTAAGGCAAGAGAGTTGCTTGAACCCGGGAACTGGAGGTTACTGTGAGTCAAGATCGCACCACGGCACTCCAGTCTGGGTGACAGAGCAAGACTCCATCTCAAAAAAAAAAAAAAAAAAAAAAAAAAATAAATAAATAAATAAATAAATAAATAAATAATAATAACCAAAGAAAACAAGAAAAAAGAAAAAAAAAACGAGAAAAAGAAAACGTTCATACCATATTTTTCTGAATAAATGTCATAAAATTATCTATATCCACACAGAGAACTCCTGACCTCTAGTGATCCACCCGCTTCCACCTCCCAAAGTCTGAGGATTACGGACAAGAGCCACAGCGCCCGGTGACACTTTGTGACATTAGCGAGTGGAGTGTGTCAGTTATATTACATACCACATACCGAAAAACCATATGAAAAATGATAAAAATCAATTAATGAAATTTTGTAACTCATGATAAAACCTGCAAACAAATAATAAGTACACTTATACAGCCTGCAGAATTCTAAACAATTCCCTCTTAAGAAAAAAGTCACAACTTCTACTTACCAGGAGCACACGATGTAAGAACTGAAATACATGTCAAGACCACTGCCTTCTGATGTATGAGGTCAAGAAAATACACAGCATTATAAAGTATAAGAATTGACTAACGGCCGGGCATGGTGGCTCACACCTGTAATCTCAGCACTTTGGGAGGCTGAGGCAGGCAGATCACGAGGTCAGGAGTTCGGGACCAGCCTGGCTAACATGGTGAAGCCCCATCTCTACTAAAAATACAAAAAAATTAGCTGGATATTGTGGCAGGCACCTGTAATTTCAGCTACTCAGGAGGGTAAGGCAGAAAAAACGTTTGAACCCAGGAGGTGGAGGATGCAGTGAGCCAAGATTACATCATTGCACTCCAGCCTGGGTAACAGGGTGACCCACCAAACCTGGCCAATTTTTTGTATTTAGTAAATTTGAAGTTTTATCATGTTGGCCTGACTGGTGTCAAACTCCTGACCTCAACAGATCTACCCATCATGGTATCTCAGATTGCTGGGATTTGAGGCCTGAGCAACCATGGCCAGCCAGCCTAAGCTATTTCTGACAGGACAGTGAAATGACTGAAACAGGAAAAGGAGAATGTCATCATCATCACCGAAGGTTGACAACTCTTACTACACAAAGGAAGTTTAGAGTCTGTACTATAAAAACTGCAAAATGTGAAGCCATCTAATAGCATTAATGTGTTTTAAAACCCTGAAGGCAGCTGGGTATGGTGGCTCACTCCTGTAATCTCAGCACTTTGGGAGGCCGAGAGAGGTGGATCACCTGAGGTCAGAAGTTGGAGACCAGGCTAACCAACATGGAGAAACACCATCTCTACTAAAAATTGCAAAATTAGCCAGGCATGTCAGGGTCGCAGATGCCTGTAAATTCCAGCTACTTAGAGCCTCAGGCA